CTGTAGGCATGCCTATGGTGGATTGGACCTGTAGGCATGCCTATGGTGGATTATTTGACTAAGTTAATTGAGGTAGGAAGACCCACCCATTGTGAGTGGTGCCATTTCCTGGGCTAGATGGAAAGGGAATGATGAACTGACCACAGGCACCACCACTCTTTGCTTCCTGACCGTGAAGGCAATACACCAGCGCGTCCAGTTACTGCCATGATTCCCTGCTGTCACGGACCCAGCATCGGGAGCCAAACGAGCCCTTTGTTCCTTAAGCTGCTTCTGAAGGAAACTGAAACACAGTTCTCCTAAGTTACGAACCCGAGGGAAGGCCCTTTGCTGCTGCCGTAGGCTCCATGTTTGGGTATCCCCACATTCACATGTGAAAGCCCGGCCTCCCAGGTGGCCTCAGGAGATGGGATTTTCTGAAGGCTATAGGGTGGAGCCTTCCAGAATGATTAGTGACCTTATGAAAGACACAAGATGGCAGTGAGAGAACTTGCCTCCTTTGTTTTCTCTTTCAGGCTGATATAATTAGATGTGCCTCTACAAACTGGAAGTGAGAAATCACCAGAACCCAAGCGGTGCTGGAACTTTGATCTTGGACCTCTCAGCCTTTGTAACTGGAATAAATCATTTTGTATTGCTCAGCCCACCCCGTCTATGGTATTTTTTAAAATATGACCCCACACGAACTAAGAAAGCTGGCAAATACCCGACAGTCTGTCACCCCAAAGCAGGGCCATAGTTATCAAGCAAGCAATAGGCATTTGCATGGGACCTTCTAATCTACAAATCTTATTCCATATCCTTTATTAAACTCACGACGCTCTTCGTAGTGAAGAGAAGCCTGCTATCATATTGTCTTGTCTATTTTGTCTTCTTTGATTTGGATCAGTTCCCAGTGTTTCTTTGTTTTCCATGATATTGATATTCTTGAAGCACTCTGACTGGTTCTTTTTTTTTTTTTTTTTTTTTTTGTAATCATGCATATTAAGGCCTAACGAATCAATCTGTCGATCAATGGATTCATCCTTTTTAGGTGTATGTTCTTTTTGGTTTTCCAGTGAATGGTTTTATAAAAGAACCCCCGCCTTGAGTCCATCTGATGTTTCCATGTGACAAGGGTCACACTGTGATGCTTTTACAGAAATGTCCCAGAAGGCATGTTGCATTTTCCTGCATGCATCATAGCAGGACATGTGTGTGGCTGAACTGTCCCATCACCGTGGAGGTTAGCTTTGAGCTCCTGGTTTTCCCTGGTGAGGTTCTTTTGTGGGGAGAGGCCTTCAGACTATATAAATATTCCATTATTTCCCAAATTCTCACCCACCGGGGTGTTCATTGGTTGGTGCTTCTTCCCTGGCAGCGGATAACTTGGTTCTTTTCTGATCCTACCACTCCTTTCCCACTTCCGGTTGTCTTGCTGCTGGAAGGAGGACAACTTCCACGATGGTTAGTACTCATCACCAACCTGACATAACCCTGAAAGACAGGCCCTTATTTTATCTTCATTCTTTGGGGGAGAAGAGCTGCCCAGTGTGGGTGGCACAGTTCCCTGGCTAGAATCCTAGACTGTATAAACGAAGAGAGGGACCTGAGGGGCAGTGTGACTTATCACTCTCTGCTTCCTGTTTGTGAATGCAGCGTGTGTGTGTGTGTGTGTGTGTGTGTGTGTGTGTGTGTGTGTGTGAGTGAGATCAGCTGCCTTGAGCTCCTGCTTGTGGCGATATATTGTGTATTCTAATAAAAATTTGCCTGAAGATCAGAGAATAGAACAAGCCACTAGATTAGACATAGAGGTCAGGCAGTGGTGGCACACAACTTTAATCCTAGCACTCAGGAGGCAGAGATCCATCTGGATCTCGGTGATTCCAAAGCCACCTTGGACTCCATGAGATTGACTCAGTCTGGGAGAGAAACAGAGCCAGGCAGTGGCGGCACACACCTTTAATCCCAGCATTTGAGATCTCATGCCTTTGCTTGGGAAGCACACACTCGCCTTTAATCCCAGGAAGTGATGGCTGGGGAGAGAAAGGCATATAAGGCCGAGGAGACAGGAACTAAAGGCTTTTCGACAGAAGTGGGTGTCCCTTTCAGCTAGAGGCTTTTTGGGCTGAGGAAGCTCATTCGGCGGGAGGCCTATCGGCTGAGGCTTTTCCAGACTGAAGAGTCCTAGAGGTAAGCCATGGCTTGTTCCTTTCTCTCTCTACTCTTCAGGCACATTTTATTAGGGTGCACAATATATCACCACAGCTGCTGCCTCCTCTTCCACCATCATGCTGGATTCTCACAAGCTAGAATAAACCCATTTTCCCTTAAGTTTCATTTCTCAATGTTTTATTCCAACAGGAGAAGCTAAGATAACTTCTCTCCCCGGTGATTATTTAATCAAGTGTAGCGTATTCAGATTGATTTCCTTCCATAGGCTATATCCTTGTTTACTTTGATGTTCAAATTAGTTTAGACTTGGCCCTGGAAACCTGGCCGTATTTTGACATGTCCTCATCATTCTTCGAGTGTTTCTTTACTTCCCCAAACAGCAGGGCTTTCTAAGCTCACTTTGTACTCTTTGTGGTCCAGCTTGAGGCAACCACTTCTCCAAACAAGGATGCGGTTTTCTAAATGTGGGTGAGGTCATCTCGGCCTCGAGATTTCTCCAGTGTCATGCTATCAAACCCAAACCTATAAAATTGTATGGAAGAGACTTATCTGGGTCCTTTCTCCCTTTCAATGAAGATGAAGCAACATACAGAAGAGTCATATGGTGAGATTTATGAAACAAGACTTTTCAGAAGGAAGGCAAATGATGAGTGAGAAGGAGAAAACAGCCATACAAGACACAGAAGTTTCTGGGTGTGCCCATGAAAGCTTGGCATCAGCATCTGGCTGAATTAAGAAGGGAATTGCACCAGAGGAAGATGCTTGGGACAGAGACTTCAGGAACTCCGATCTGCGGGCAAGAGCACTCAGCCACATTGTAAGAGTAGACAGCCTCAGGACACGGGGTCCTGACAGCCCAGCCAGACTAATCTGGACAGAGGAAGCCATAGGGCCAGTGTCTTCTTCTTTTTGATGTACTCTGGGGGTATATGTTAGTTTCTAGGTCAGCTGAGGCCCCCCAGTTAGAAGGACATTGCTGTTCAAGTACCCTAAAATCATTCCTCCAGTCTACACTCCCACTCAATAATGTGTCTATTTACTATGTCATGGGAGAGATGCGGCTCTCAGGTATTGGGTGTGGGGGGCTGTCAGGATCCTGATCCACCAGCTCTAGAGATCAAGGAGGCTGGGTGTGAGTGATTGCATGCCAAGTAAAACACTATATGTGTTTGGGAGGTGGGATGGGAATAATTGAGGGGCAGGTTTTCTACCCATTAATGATTCATGAAAGAAAAGTTATTTTATTAAAACATGGGCAATAGTTAGTGTTAATTATCTACTTTCCAAGACCTAGAATCCTTTAGGGGTGAACCTCTGGGAATACCCGTGAGGAATGTCTGTATTTGTGTGCAATTGTGCCCTCTGTGCTTGGGTGTAGAGGTCAGAGGACAACTTGTGGGAGTCAGTTCTCTCCTTGCCCTCTGTGGGTCCCAGGGATGAAACTCAGGTCCTCAGTCTTTGTGGAAGGTACCTAAACTCACTGAACCATCTCACTAGCTTTTGATCCCATCTCTTACTCCCTCCCCTGGAGAAGCACTCTCATGCATGGGTAGATACATCCAAGATTGGCCACTGCAGTGTTGGCCATTGTAGTAAACCGGTTGGGGACAACCATTAATGCTTAGCATTATGGGAGTGTGTAAATAACTCTGCAGCACACTCTTACCCTGCCACTTATGTAGCAATGGGACAGCAATGGTGTGTGTGCCAATGTGCCAATCTCTGTGTGCTGATGTGGAGCCTGTCCCTAACACAGGACTGGGAAAAAATACGAGAGAAGGTAATCAGCAAGGGTAATAACACTACTGTAAATGAAGAATTAGTACACAGATAGTATTTAAATGCCCAGAAAATGTGTGGAAGGCTTCAGAGCACTGGAAGCCAAGGTTCCCTGGGGAGAGGGAAGAGCTTGGTAGGGTTTTCTCCTTATCTGTGCTGTCCTGATTTGGTTATGGGAACTCTCCCACAAACACAAATATAGGACACTATAATAAACCCCCAAGTACTGTCACCCACACATTCCCTCTTCCTGACTATTTTTAAGCACAGCTGACATTGTATTCCATTCATAAATATTTCAGCAATTACCTCTAAGAGATAAGAATCTTTAAAGAAAAACAAAACCTCAGGACCATGACCACATCTAAAATCATCAATGGCAGTTCCTCAGGACTGTCAAACACCCAATCCTTGCTCATATTTCTGCCTTGTATTCACAAATGATTTCTCCAAATATGGAGCAATCAGGCCCATGTGCTGTCGTTGGTCAATATGACCTGCGTCTCTCTGTTCATTTTGGTAGTGTGTCTTTAAGGTAAGCTGCTGGAAGTAACCCTGCTGAGCCGAATGCAAGGACCACTGTCAGGTCTACATCCCAGGCTTGCAGCATTTATATTCACACAAGCAGTAGGCGGAAGGGCCCATTCTCCACAACCTTTGGCCAAACTTGATGATGTGGCACTCTGACCGATATGGTGGGGAAGTGCAGCATTGTAATTTTTGTTTCCTTAAATTAAGTTCCAAATGAAAATTGGGCGTAGGGAGAATTCTGAGTCTGTAGAGGAAAGGAGCAATTTGCATTGAAATAATAACATTGCCAACTAGCATTCAGCACATTTAAAATTTTTATTTAAGGCTCTAGCAAGCCTGTGAGGAAGGTGGTGTCGTCTCACTGTTTTAGGGGGAGGAAGCCAAGGATGAGAAGGCATGAACAAACTCTCCTAGGGTCTCACAGCAAGGAAGTAGGAAGCATCTGTGAGTCTGTGCAGGCGCTGCCTCTGCCCTGCTCTGCCAGGCTGAGCTCTGCCAGGCTAAGCCGTCTGACCTGTGAGACAACACAGATGTGGGCATGAAGGAACATCTCCCAGGCACTTCCCTTCACTCTGCTTGGCGCCAGCTTCCAGACTTCTGGAAATGTCACTGGTGCCGGTGGTTTTCCAGCGGTTTAAAGGTGATTGCTAGGATATTGCCTACAGCACTTCTCTGGCCCCAGAAAATGCCCAGTTTAGCCATAGGCTATTACCCAAACAAGTCTGGCAACTCCCACTCTGGCATTCCTCGGAAGGGGAAACTTGGTGACAGACTATGTCAGGGACTGTGGGGGCCTGCACTTCCCAATGTGATTGGCCAGATTACTTTGGGGGAATTATTCAAGATGCCCCATGCAGTGAATTTGGTCGTTGTTTGCTTATTAGAGAAATAAGACTTGCTTCCCCTAGAACCTTGAGGGCCGAGACTCCAGTTCTTTCCATCTTCTGTACTCTTCACTCCTCAACACTGGGGACACAAAGAGGATGGGTACACGGGCTGGCCCTTAACGTGTGGCGGGCAGGAGAGGAGATAACTGCCAACGAACGCTCTGATGCAAGGACCTTCTGTCCCGCGCGTATGTGCACACGCGCACCCAGGTGCAGAGACTCAGGCGTCGTATTGCCAGCGTCCCGTCACTGTGACACAGTACCTCCAGGAACCAGCTTCAAGGATGCAGGTGTATTTTGGTTCACGGTTTCAGAGGTCTCCGTCTGTGGTCACTCGACTTCTGGTCCTGCGGTGAGAGAGAACATGGGGAGAGGGGAACATGTGGTAGTGCTCAGTCCCATGGTGGCTGGGGTCCATTATGCCTTTTAAAGGCGTGCCTACAGTGACCACTTCCTCCAAGTAGGCCCTACTTCCTAAGATAGTATCACTTCCCCCTAGTGTCTCAGGCTAGAGCCTTTTAGTGCATGGCTGCTGGAGGACATTTCAGATCTGGTCTCAGGCACTGTCACTTCATTGCTGTGTGGTTTGGGGCAAATGACTTCTGTGCCCCGATAGAGTCTCTTCTGCGAAATGGTCCTTCTGCCATGGGATGCTGTGAGGATTAGTGATGAAGAAGGAAGAGTCTACCAACGTGGTAAGTACAATACCTGATGCATGGCTGGTGCCCAGAAAACTCCTTAGGCAGTGCTTCTCACCTTCCTAATGCTGGGACCCTTAAGACAGTTCCTTACCTTGTGGTGACCCCCCCCCCCAACTAACCATAAAATGATTTCATTGCTACTCCATAACAATAATTTGGCTACTGTTATGAATTGCAAATATCTGTGTTTTCTGATGGTCTTAGACGACCCCTGTGAAAGGGTCCTTTGATCCCCAGGTTGAGAACCACTGTCTTATAGCATACCAGAAGAGATCTAGACGTCCAGTGGTCATTCTTTACCTCGACCTCAGGAGAGGGGAGATGGTACACCACTTTGGTTGGGCAGGTCTGTCCCTGGACCCCACTGGACCCCCAGATTAAGCCCTTATTGCCACCCATTCCTGGCCCTAAATACATACATACGAGTGTGTGTGTGCCTGATAAGGCAGAGTTTTGTCTTTACCTTTGAAATATGTTTTGAATCTTGCTTTTATAAAACACTAGATGGGTTTTGGTATTTTGTCTAGTCTCCACTTCCTGTTGGCTATAAATGCCTGCAAAGATTCAGCCCAAAGTCCCAAGGAAGAGGCCAGTAAAGCAGAGTGTCCTCACTCTCTCCACTCATCTCCTCCCCAGCAGCAAATTTAATAACAGCCATGCCCACAGCTACCCCCCGACACACAATGTAAAACCCTCACCCAGTCTCTCTTTCCAAGGTCTCTAGGAGAAAGAGCTGGAGAGTTACTTTGAGCTTTGGCAGGACTTCAGAATTTTTTTCCCCCAGTAGAAGCTCAATAATTCTTGAGATCTAAATTTAGAAGCTTGTACAGAGAGCCCTGAGAAATCAGAAGCAAGACAACCAGGCTTTCCAACTAGCACCCTCTCCTACCCCCCCCCCCCCCCCCCCCCCGTCTCCCCCTGACCTCAAGCAATGTAATAAAGCTGTTGCAGTCATTTTCCAAGGTCAATTTTCAGCTCTTAATAGATTTAATGGGCTGTTTAAAAAGGATCCATGGCTTGTGTTTAATCAAGCTTACACAGGTTTGGGTATATCAAGGAAAGGTGAGGGTGAGGAGACGGGGAAGAAGGGGACCAGAACAAAGTCGAAATCCTCTTCAGAACTCCGTCGGAATGTGATGGGAGTGTGGTTCCATCCCTGAGATCAGGTCGGAGCCACTTACTTCCCAAGCCTTGGATCTCGGTGGAAAAGTGAAAGAAGAAACCTGCCGGAGTTATCAAGACTAAAGACAGTGGGGGAGATGAGAGGGAGGAGCCTTGAGCAGTTGGTGAGTAAATGGTCCTGTCGAAGCTCATGGGGAGTGAAGCTCCAGCCACACAGCCGTACTAACAAACCTCATCACGATTGTGGTAATGCTAGGATGTCTGGGATGTCTGGCTGTGTGGATGGGATCGAATAGTCATGAGGTCACGGGGTTCTGCCTTCATGAATGAATTAATACCGTGCCTTGTGAGTGGGTCAGTAGGTATAGGTCAGTTCTTGAGAGAGTGGGTCGCTATTTAAAGAATCACTTTGTCCCCCCCCCCCCCATTCTGGTTTTGCTGAGTTCTCTTTCCTTCTGATAAGGACCCCTTCCATGTTGATCTATGCTATGCTGTGATGTAGCCAGAAGGCTTGCACCCGATGTCAAACAGATGGGGCTTCTATATCTTATACTTTCAGTGTCCAAAACTTTATCAATCAAATAAACCTCTTTTCTGCATAAAGTTTACAGCCATAGATAATTTGTTATAGCTGTTCCACACGGGCCCGGATAGTACCCAGTACGAGTCAGTGCACAGTTACTGTGCTCCAGACTTTCTGCTGCAGCATGTTTCAAGTCTTTCCTTCAGGTCTCAACAACTGCCTGGGGGAAGTATGTTCAATTGTCATTCCCATGATGCACTGGGGAGAAACAGAGAGCCGATGAAGAGACGCCATTGGTCTAAACACTTGCATCCAGTGAGTGCTGATGATTTGCATCTAGGTAATCTAACCTTAGAATTTATGATTAACCACTTGAAGGATATAGGAACACCTGAGCAAGAATTGTCTATGTGAAGAAGAAAATAATACCCATAAGTCTGTCTCATGCCTATGGCTAGTTGGGACTTTTGGTGTATGCGGAAGAGACCATGGGATGTCCACCAAGGTATGTGTTGCTTTTCTGTAAATGTAGAGTTACAGTTATGCTTGGCTGCCCAGCTAGACAGCATTTCCCACCCTCCTGGCAGTTTAATATGAACAGGGAACATAATATTGCTGTTTCCTTTCATTACAATTACATCTAACTACTGAGTCTATTTTCTTCTAGTTGTCTGCCCTGTGACTATTTGTATATTCATTTCTCACATAATCCCCTTAGATATTTGTGTTTTCCCTTGTATTCTATGACCCTCCTTCAGGACTGGTGAATCCAGTCTTACCATCTAATTCTAGAACAATATTAATTTGACATGATGATACAGTACCAGCTACCACCATCACCTATGATGATACAGTATTGACTGCAATCCCATCACCCCTTCTTATGTTTGAGAATAACTTTGCACTTAAGCACTCAACTAGAAAATCTAGTCCCTCCTCCCCTCCCCCCACAAGCGTGTCTCATGTTAGGGAACTACAACCGTCTCTTTTACCATGGGTTTGTTTGCTCTATGGGTACCTCGCCTTTGTGTCCTGTGAGGTGATGTACGAGCTCAAGTCACCTTAGTTTCCTCATTTGGGGTAACCCATCAGTGTTGTCCTAACTGAGCCCAGGAAAGCAGAACAGCAAAGGTCAGAGACAATCTAGTTTTCTGCGCCTGGTGGAGAATCTCCACCTGATCAGTGACAGCCCACAAGGCGTGGTGAGGGCCAGTGCTTGCACTAAACTCTTTCAGTGCACTGTGTGTGTGTGTGTGTGTGTGTGTGTGTGTGTTGTATGCAAGTGTTATGTGGATGTACACATGTGTGTGGAAGCCAGAGTTGATGTCATGTGTCAGGTATCTTCAGTTACATCCTTCCTTCCTTCCTTCCTTCCTTCCTTCCTTCCTTCCTTCCTTCCTCCCTCCCTCCCTCCCTTCCTTCCTTCCTTCCTTCCTTTTTTTTGAGACACTCTTTTACTGACTCTTCAGCTTCTGGATTTGGCAAGGTAGACTGCTAATGACCAGGGATTCCTCCATTTCCATCCCCCTAGAGTTGACACTGTAGGCGAACCCTGCTGCTCCCATCCTTTGATGTGGGTCCAAGGTACCCAGAGTCAGGTCTTCCTGCTTGTGCGGCAAACACTTTACCGATTGAGCTGTCCCCCATTCTTCAAATCACCTTCTTTCAAAATTATTTCTTTTTTCTCCTGTTTTCCAAGAGAGTATGTGTATTTTTTTTAAACCAAGCAGTCAGAATAGGCTCTTTTAAAGACATCATTAAAAAAAAAAAAAAGACAAGCTAAGTTTTATATGGGCAAGTATTTGAATAGATTTTTCTCTAAATAATATATCCAATTGGCTAATACGCACATGAAAAGATACTTGATGTCATTAGTCATTAGAGAAACGCAAATCAAAACTAGAACAAGCTAAGACTTTATGCCTATCAGTATGGCTAAAGAAAGAAGACAATACAAGCATGAGGTGTGGAGGACCAGATCCCTCTTATACTGCTGTTGAGAATGCCAGGTGGGGTAGCGACCCAGGAAAATTTGATAATTCCCCAACAAAATTTGATAATTCCTCAGTAAATTGAAAAAAAAACCCCACACATACAAAAGTTCAAAGTAGTATTCATAATAGCCCAAAGTGGAGATAACTCAAGTATCTACTAAGAGCTGATGAATTAAGTAAGCTGTAGAATATCCTACAACTAGGTATAGTAATAAAGGACGGGTACTGGTACATACTACAGCAGGGAGGAACCTTGAAATAGCATGAAGAAGGCAGTCACAAAAGACAGTCGGTTGCATGATTCCAATGAGCTCAAATGCCCACAGGCACATTTTTAAAGCCAGAAAGCTGATGAGTGTTTGCTAGCACTGGAGGTGAGGGAGGGAGTGGAGTCTGAATACTGATGGTGCGCATGCTCTGTGGAAAGCCACAAAAGCATTCTAAAATTAGGTTGCCCAAATTTGATTACTAAAAATCCATTGCATTTTAAGTGGGTGAAGTGTATGGCAAATGAATTATACTCAACAAAGCTGCTAAAATAAAGCAGAAGTTGGGCTGGGGAGAGAGTTCAGTCGATAAGGTGCTTGCTTGCAAGCATGATGACATGATTTTAATCCACATCATGAAAACCAGCTACATTGGCGTCCATTTGTAATTCCAACGTTGGTGATGCAGAGACACAGAACTTGCTGGTGGTCAGCCTCACCTACTTGATGAGTTCTAGCCCAATGAGAGACTGTCTCACCAAGGAACTACAGCTAAGGTTGTCCTCTGACTTCCGTGTTTATGTGCACACACGTGCACAAACATACACATGAAAAGAGAAATTAAATCCTCTGCTTGGAATCCTGCAGAGGCTCCTTGGTTTTTCTGAGTTGGACCTATATCCTCACCATGTGCCATACAGTAGTCTGACCTCGAGTTTCTGCCCTAACTGAATCTTCCCTCATCTACTGGCCTCCACGCTGTACCTACTTGTGACACATCTGACCTCAGAGCCTTTCTCCTGGCTGTCCCCTCTGCTAGAGAAGCCCCTTCCTCAGATACCCTCCTACAGAGCTCCTGTATCTGGCAAGTCCCCTAGTCCTGGCAAGTCTCTTACCTGGCTCTCCATACCGAATTACCTTTATTGTGCACACACACCCTGTTGCCTCCTAATATACCATACAATTTGCTTATTGCAATGTTGTCTGGTTCTTTCTAGTGAAACACACCTCTTCCACAGGATCCAGAATCTCAGGGTTGATCACTGTATCCCATTTCCCAGAAACACACTGCTCACCCAGCAAGGGTCTCAATAAATCCTTGTAGAATCGGGACCATAGCCGAAAAGGACAACATTGTCATTTAATTCCAATTCCTTTCTTCCTTGCATACCTACTACTGTGGAGGCTTTAAAAAACAGGACCTCACCAGGTGATGGTGGCACATGCCTTTAATCCCAGCACTCGGGAGGCAGAGCCAGGTGGATCTCTGAGAGTTCACAGCCAGCCTTGTCTACAGAGCGAGATCCAGGACAGGCACCAAAACTACACAGAGAAACCCTGACTCAGAAAAACCAAACCAACCAACCAACCAACCAATCCCCCACCACACACACACACAAACCAAAAAATACCTCCCAGCTGACCTTTATGGGTACAGAACCAGAGCAAGAGGAGGCTGCAAGGCTGTTTCATTATCGGACCAAAGACAAGAGGCCTAGCCAGGGTCCATCTACAGCCCATCTCCCTTTCCCATCCTTGAAGAACATCTTTCCAGAATTTTTCTTTTCATGTATATGTCTTCTAAAATTAAAAATTGCATTATTCTATTTGCATATTGTCTGAAGACCTGCTTCCCCCCACAGGTAACGGCACTGTAACCTGCCTGTCATCGCTGGTCTTCCTAAGTGATGGTTCGCCCTGAACTTATTGAAGGTGTGTTAACGTAACAGGCAGGCAGGGCAAATGAAAGCCAGGCTGTGTGCCAGGTCCCGAAGGAACGGCAGAATGAGGGATGATTGGGCTTAGCCTTCTGAGAAAAAGGTAGGAGACAATCTCAGGGACCTGCCTGGGAAGGAGGGGTGGCTGGGTGGCCTCTAGGCGCCAGGACAGGTAGAAACCCTTTCTGTTCAAATCTTATGGCTTTGATGGCAGACACTGAATTTTCACTTGTCCCCACCAAGAGCTCTCTTGCTGGCAACAATACATTTACCTCTGGATGCGAGACGGAAGCCATGGGTGGTTTCTGCGCTTTCTGCATAATGTGCATGTAATTAATCATGTCTCCAATGGCTTATAATTTAGGCTTTTTTCATTTTAGCTGTCTAATTAAATTCATTTAAGGTTTATAAGTAGTTATTTTAGAATTTCTCCTTGTACCCCCACTGGCATTGAGCTGAAAACTCGTAATAAATACATCTCAAGATGGCTACTGCTGTTCTCCAAATGAATCCCAAAGTCTCTTCAAGTGCGCTGGAGTATCTTTTGACTACAGCTTTGACTGGTCCCAGGAAAGCTTGGAGAAGTGTTGCTTGCTTCTCTTTATTTGGGGATGTGTTTGTGAGGGTGTATGCATGTGTTAGTATGGATGTCTGCCCAGGGGCAGCATGTATAGCCTAGAAGTCACTGTCAGGGGTTTTCAGGATTCTTCTCCTTGTTTGCTGAGACATGTCTCTTCTTGAACCTGTGAACACGGAGCTCATCTGTTCAGCTGGACTGCCTAGCCAACGAGCTCCAAGGGCCTGTCTGTTCCCGCCTCCCCACTCCTGGGATTATAGACATCCCACACTGCCCAGCCTTTTTTTTTTTTTTCTTTTTACATGGGTATTGGGGATTCAAATTCCGTCCTCACGCTTATGTAGAAAGCACTTGCTGACTGAATCACATCTCCACACCTCTCTCTTTCTTCCCCTTAAAACTTTTTCCGAATTTGAAGACTTAGGTGGGAGCCAGGATGAGCTAGTGAAGTCACGTCACTTCGGGTCAGCGTGGAGGTCAGTACCTTCTCCCTGACATGACTCTGTTCCAGTTTCCCACTTTCTGATTTGAAAAGACAGCCACACCCTCTTCTTCTGTCTCTCACACGAAAGCCTGTCTCCTGAAGCATTGTGCAGAGCTCGTGTTAATGGCACAGTAACACAGTTAGACATGTGTGCTACTAAGTAAAAGCTTGACGCAAACCAGTGGAAGATGTTTGCCTAACCTTGCCCATGGCCACATACGTGTGTGTGCTCTACCCACCAAATTACAAAGTCCCTGTTGAAAGACAGAGAAAAATTGTCCCAAATGCAAGTTTCAGGAACTTTTTCACAGTCTAAGAAATGCAAATTAAAGCAACAGTAAGGTACGATTTTATCCTATGAAACTGTCAAAGATTTTTATAGATGATTAATTCTCGGTGCTGCTATGCTGGCCAAAGTTTACCTTGGAACAATCTTTCTGAAAAATAATTTTAACAGTTAGAAGAATCTGTGGTTTGCATGGTGTTTTCCTTCCTTCCTTCCTTCCTTCCTTCCTTCCTTCCTTCCTTCCTTCCTTCCTTCCTT